GTGCTTGCTGAAGAGGTAGCTGAGAATTCTGTGTCTAGATTGGCAGACAGCAGGAAGAGAGTGAGACACTGGACCTTGCCTGAGCTTCTGAAACCGCAAAGCGCCCCCTCCCCCCCCCCCCCCCCCCCGTGACATACTTGCTCCAACAAGGCTATATTTCCTAATAGTGCTACTCCTTATTACCCTATGGGGCCATTTTTATTCAAACCACCACAGTGGGGTATGAGTTCGTGTGTGTGAATGTTTGTGTGAATGCCAGAGGTCAGCACACCTTTTTTTTCTTTTTCTTTTTCTTTTTTTTTTTTTTTTTTTTTCTGTTTTTCAAGACAGGGTTTTGCTGTAGCTTTGGAGCCTGTCCTGGAACTAGCTTTTGTAGACCAGGCTTGCCTCGAACTCTCAGAGATCCACCTGCCTCCTGTCCCTGAATGCTGGGGCTGTAGACATGGACCTCCATGCCCAGCTTTTTACATGGGTGCTAGAGATCCAGCACACGGCAACAAGATCTTTACCCACTGAGCCGTCCCTCCATCCTCAAAAAGTAGAGTGAACGCCACAGGTCCTTATCTTCTCCTGATGCCCTCTAGTTTATGCGTATTGCTGTACACATTAGGATTCCATCCTCTTTGTGGCTGGATTGCATTCCACTGCGTAGATGTTTTTTACCTTTCCAGCTCCAAGCAGCCACGTGCCTGGTGTATGGGAGCTCAGATGTCTCAGTATGTGCCGTCTTTGGTGTGTTGTTTGCTGATTTACATGGCCAGCCCAATACAGACATTCAAAGCAAGCATGACATGAAGATCCCAACTGTCTAGACCAATTCCTTTTCACTTCTGCCTCCACTGATCAAATTTAGAAGTAGCCCTCAGCTGTGAGTTCTGCTGTGAAGGGTTTGTAGCTTAGGGTTTTGTGAGCCTGTGGATCCAAGTCCAGTCCCATCAGATCCATGTAAGAGAACTAGGTGTGATGGAGCATACTTCTAATCCCAGCATTGGGAGGGAGGAAATAGGCAGGTCCCCGGGGCTTGCTGGCCAACCGGCCTGCCTGCTTGGCCTACTTTCATAGGCCAGTGAGAGACCCCACCTCATAAACAACCAGGTGGGGGCTGAAGAGATGGCTCAACAGTTAGGAACACTGCTCACTCTTCCAGAGGACCTAAGTTCAATCACAACACTCATATGGTGGCTCAGTGAGTGACTCACCCATAACTCCAGTCTCACAGGCTCTGACGCCCTCTTCTGGCCTCCACAGGCACTGCATGCATGCGGTGCACAGACATATATGAAGGCAAAAACCCATCCACATAAAATAAACAAAACTAAATCTCAAAAACCAGGTGTATGGTGTCTGAGAAGTGACACCCAAGGTTGACTTCTGGCCTCTGCATGCACATGCACACACATATGTACACACGTGTACATTCACAAACATACAAAAGAAAGGATAAAATACTTTCCTGGAGCAGAAGAGAGAGGGAGGCTTTTTCTTTTCACCTCACTTTGCTCTGAGAACTAATTTAAAAAAAAACAAGCAAAAACATACTGTTATCATCACTTGACAATCTGTCCTGGGTGTCCCCCAAAGCACACACGTGTCAGCTTTTCTCAGACTACGTAAGTCACAGCAAAAATGCAGGAATGTCGAGAGCTTGTAGTGTGTCTTTGTTGATAGCTGAGAAGTTTGTTACAATAGGTCAGAGGAGCAATTAAACTATATTTAATTTCTCTTGAGATTTCAGAGTTAGAGTAGATTATTCTTTCTCTTAATTGGAGTAATTATCAATCTCCCATGAAAGGTGTGTGTGCATGTATGTGTGTGCGCGCACATGCGTGTGAGTGGATGAGTGTGTGAAATCTGTTTAGAAGTGTTATCAAGTTATTAATGTTATATCCAAAGTCTGGATGTCCTGGCTCATGTTACAATGGCACACCAGCATTCAGAGGTTCCCCGGTGTATCTGGGGGGGGGGGCTCTCCTTGGTTTTATTTGATAGTGAAGACACCTGGTTTTAGATCTCACTCTCTCCAGATTCCCACGCCGACACTGTACACTTTTAATTTAAAGCCAATTGCCCTCTTCCTACTGACTCTTCTCTGCTGTGCTTAAAGAACTGTTTTAAATAGAACTCGGGGAGTAAGTTGACGGGAACTGGTGGAGAGAGTGACTCTATAGTAGTCATAATCATTTGCAGGAGGGGATGCAGCTCTGTTAGGACAGTGCTTGCTGATCGTCACAAAGCCCCAGCTTTAGCCCCAGCATTGCACAGGGTGGGCCATGTCTGTCTCCCCAGCATTTGGGAGGCAGAGGCGGGATAAGAGGTTCAGAATCAACCCCATCTACATAGGAAAGACTTGATCTACAGACAACTTTGTCTTAAAAAGAAAATCATTTGTAATTGCTGTTTAAATTATTAAAAAATTTTAAGTACATGAACTCATTCTCTCAAGCATTTCCAAAAGATATCCAGGTTTTTAAAAACCATCATTCCTTCCACTTGGAAACTATGTTGCTAAAGTCTAAAATCTATTTTTTTTGTTTGTTTGTTTAGCTGGAGTTTTTTGAGGCAAGTTATCCCTGTGTAATCCATGCCAGTGGCCTGGATCCCCCTGCCTCAGCCTCCACAGTGCTGGGATTTCGGGCATGCTCCTATGCCAAGAGTACAGCTGTCTTGTGCTTTATTTTGCGTGTGTGCATAAGTGTAGCGTGCTTGTATGGAGGTGCATTCGTAGAGGCCACAGGAGGGCGTCGGGTGTCTGCGCTGTCTCTCTCTACTTCATTTCCCTAAGACCTGGAGCAAGGGTGGTGGCTACCAAGTTCCAGCTCTGTGCCTCCCACAGAACTGGGCTTATAGGCATGTGTGAGCACACTGAGCCTTTTACATGGTGCCTCTTGCTTGCACAGAGAGTGCTCTGAAGCGCCGAGCCACCTCCCCAGTTCTTTCTGTCTTCCCTCTGATTAGTTCATTGTTTTTCAAAAAGCAAAGGATGAGAGGGAGGACTCAGTCAGGTGGCTCTTGCTCTGAGTAGGCTTCCCTTCAGAAAGAACGTTTTGTTGTGGTTTTGCAAAGGGTAGTGCCCCGATACCTTCCCCCGGAATAGCAAGTTTTCTGTGGCCACACCCGCATATGCTTGTGTGTTTATAGCATGCGTGTGGAGGCCAGAGCAGGACATCTAGAGTCTTCCTCTATTACTCTCGGCCTTATAACCTCCAGACAGGGTCTCACTGACTTAGACACTCAGTTTCACTGTTGAACTGTTTCAGCTAGGCTGTTTGCGCTCAGGATCCTCCTGTCTCCACCCCACATTCACAGCCATGCTCACTTTGACATGGGTGCTAGGGATTCGAACTCAGGTCCCCATGCTTGCAGAGCAAGTGCTCTTCTTCCCCACAGAGTCATCTCCCAGCCCCTCCAGCCCCCTTTTTACAGTCAGCTGATTCTTTGAAATGGGATAATTTGCCAAGAGGCTGAACTGCTTACTAACCCACTGGAGATGAGGGAGGCTCATCTCCAGCCTGCCTTTGATTCTCAGCTTCTTTCTGCGGTGCCTCCCCACCCAGGCTCAATGCCATGAGAGTTCCCAATCAAATTATCAATCACTTGGATTAAATTTAATCCCGGGGATGAAGTGTGTCTGGACCAAGAATCTGTGGGCATGATCATATCGTTTTTCTCCTCTCAATATTTGTTTATTTTCTCGAGAGCACAGGATAATTTATGGCAGAGAGATACTACATATGATATTCTTGCAAACAATGAAACCATTCTTAATGAAATGTCATGCTAATCTCTTGAATTTCATTCTTTTGTGATAGAATTTAATGATGAGATTAGAGCCAACCACTGCAGACCGGTGCTAATCCTCTGCATGCCTCATCCTGTTTATTTGGGGTGAAGAGTGTTCCTTGTCTCTTCGGAGCGCCTATGTTAATTGAGTGCTCAGTATTCATTACGAATAATCACGTCTGTTTTCTTGTTGAGCTTCCGAAGGCCCTTTCGCCTTCTGTGAAAGCCAAGCAGACTGTATTAACTCGTGGTTTAATTTTAAAAAGCCAGTGTGGAACTTGTGGGTGCCGACACCTTGAAGAACCATATGTTTAATAATGGGAAGGCTCTCCATCAGATCTGAATTAATAATGCTGCTGACTTATTGTTTTAGAAGACGGAGTCCTTGACCTGCTAGGTTGAAAGCTTCATGGCCGCCCTGAACTTCTGCAGGTCCTTTAGCTGAGCCATTTCCCCCGTGAATAATTAGAGGCATTTGAAGGTATTGCATAGAAGCCAATTTGTGTCTTTCACTTTGCATATTGCTGAAGCCTCATGAATTAGTCATGAGCGGGGGCCAAAAATTAACTTCTTCAGACACATATTTTGATGGGTCATGAGGGAGAATGTAAAGTGATCTGTAAAATATTCTACTGATCCTCTAAGTATTAAATTATTATACCTACGGGCTAATTTCGGGGGGCAGAGGGAGTCCTTTTCCTTCTGGAACTGACTATTTGAAAGAGATCAAGGTTTTTTATTTTCCAGGGATATAAATGAGCAATGTAGGTACCTCTTGAAAATCTTCACTCTTGTGCTAACTCTTGATTTTTAAGGAGATTGTTTTCAAATTTTGAATTGCATTTATTTGTGTGAGCACGCATGTGTGCGTGCATGCGTGCGTGTAAGTCAGAGGACAGCTTGAAAGGATCTCTCCCTCCACCGCGTGAGCTCTGAGGGTTGAACTTAGGCTGCCAGGCTCAGCAGAAAGCTCCTTAACCGGCTCACTGTCATGAATCACTCTTCCTTTTGTCTTTGAATTATTTGAGTTTTAATCTGTTCTAGCCACACTGATGCTTCTGGCTGGTTTGGTGGAAAGTTATCCTGCACTCCAACCGCCACTTTGTCTTTTCATTTTCAACATCCATGATAACAGACCAGCGTAATACGGATTTTCATACTTGCTCAAAACCTGGTTTCACATTAAAATAGTTTCTCTCCTTCCCCGTGCTTCTTTTCAGCCAGTGAGACTGAAATTGCCTTCTTCTGCGGAGAAGATTATGAGAGATACAAGGCTAATCCCACCTCGTCCTGGTGAGCGTGCCGGCACACCTTCCCATCCCGTCTTCCAAAGCGAGCTTTTTAAATTGTCAAATAAAGCTTTAAAAAATTAATCCTCTGCTTGATTTTTCCCTGTGGAGGTCTCTCTTTGCCGTTCTGGTCTCTTCTTTTCCTCCTTTCCTCCTTTCTTCCCTCCATTGCCTTCTTCTTTCCTTTCTTGTTCTAAAATGAGCAAAACACTTGAAATGTTTTGAAATATGAATGAAAATGAAATAAATGTTTGTTTTAAAAGTAGCACATCTGGGCTGGAGAAATGGCTTGGCCGTTAAAGGCCAGGCTCACAGCCAGAAATAAAAATGTCCCATCTGAGGTTCGGGAGTAGCTCAGTGGGTAGAGTGCCTAGTGTACTCTGAATTCTGTCCCCAGCCAGGAATAAGCGTGCGGTAGCAACCCCAGCACTTGAGAGAAGAGGGACAAAGACAGAAGAATCAGGAGTTCAAGGTCATCCTTGTCTGTATAGGAAGTTCAGGGCCAGCCTCGACTACGTGAGGCCCTGCCTCAAAAATAAATAATTTTTTTCTTCTAAAATTAGAAACTTTTTGGTGACTTAATGTGTTGGGTTCTTCAAAAAGACACAACCAGAGCTGGAGGGATTGTTAAGAGCACTTCCTGCAGAAGCACGAGGGAGTGAGTTCGAATCCCCACCACCAAGGTGGAAAGCAAGTACTGGTGAAAGACCCTTTTCCTCCAATGAAGTCCCCAGAACCAGGACACTCCGAGTCCAGACCACAGGATGCAATTAGCAAGAGGTTTATTGAGTAAACACAGGTACCTGCGGGCAGCAAAGTCTTTTGGAGGACTTGCGCACCTGCCAACTGGAGAGCGGGCTTTTTATAGGGAAGAGCAAAAAGCAAGTTTACAGAAGCAAAAGCGTGGTTATCGGAATGAGGCGGGGGGGGGGGGGGGGGGGGGGCATGACTGTTCCTATCTCATAGATATCCTGTTTTGCAGTCAACCTGCTTTGTTGATGTCCTATCTTATTGACATCCTGCCCTGCAGTCTTCCTATCTCATAGACATTCTGCTCTCTCAAGCATGTGGGATGTTCTTACGAGAGCAGGCTGGCTGCTGATCCGGAGAATTTTTTTAAAGCAAACAGAACGTTCCCCTGGGAGCATGCTAGCTGCGGGTTTTGAGGAGGGAGTCTGTAGGGTCTTTCACTGGCCAGGTGCTCCTGTAACCCCAGAGCTGTAGAGGGAGGACAGGAACGCCACCAGGCGTGCTAGCTGCCAGCCTAGCTCTGGGTTCAGCAGGAGACCCTTCTCAAAGGTATAAATCAGAGCAACAGAACAGGACTTCTGTACGTGCTAGGGGTGGGCACTGCCTGCGTGTGAAACACACACACACACACAAATTTTAAAAAGCCATAAAAATATTTAGATAAAACTGCAACCAAGAGCATACTGTTTAGATACTCTTTAGAGAAACTGCTGTTTTCTGTGACTGACAGAGACTGGAGGAGGCTCTTAGGGACAGTCAAGGTCATTGCTTACCCCAGGGGTGTGAGATGTGTACCCCCAAGGCATTGGGTAGTGATTATTTTAGGGAGCTTTCCTGGTGTAAAGGGTTGTTTTTCTTTCTTTTCTTCTTTTTTTCTATCAGTCTACACTAATAATGCTGCTGGCATTTTTGTGTGTGTGTGGGGGGGGGGCTATTTCCTGGCTTTTTTTAAAATAGCAAACTGTAATAGCAGCAAATTCATTTGTTGGGAAAGAGTAGGTAGCCGGATATGTGTACTTCCAGGAGAAAATTTTGGGGACGCTGTCTGTGTCCTGGAAGACGCTTTCTTCCAGAACAGTATAATTCTCCTGGTTCTTGGGTGCTGAGCCGTGGCTGCTTTGAAGGGGTCTCAGCCAGCACGTTGTGCTTAGATCGTCTGGAAGGGCTGGCTGGCTTCCAGTGTTGGCCTCTTCCTTTGCAGAGAGGGCAAACTGGATTCATTGAGGTGGGGGAGCTGTGAGGGAGTTAAGGTCTTTCTCGCAGAGGAATCCTCTGGAAGAGTCTGATTAGCATGGTCAGAAGCGCTTTGCTCTGTTGGAAGGTTTAATAGAGTCCTTCTTTAAAACAGAGACTGTTTGTTTTATTCATTCGTTCATTAAACAAAGTGCTGAGTACACAGATGGCCTCAGACATGTTCTGCCGCAGTAAGTGGGAAAGACAGGCCTACTTTTACTGGAATGGCAGGACAAACTGCCACAGGAACACAGACAAGGGGGCAGTCAGTTCTGTGAGCTGTTATTTTTGTTTTATCATTTTTCTAAGTCCCGGTTGAGCCGTCTTCAAGAATTGAACAGACAGTTTTGCTGAGGGAAAGAATTGCTGTTGCTGCTGCTGCTGTTGCTGAGTTGCTGCTGCTGCTGCTGTAGTTGTTGCTATTGTTGTTATTGTTGTTGCTGCTGCTGCTGTTGTCGTTGTTGGGTGTGTGTTGCCACAGTGTGCCTGAGGAAGTCGGGATAGCTGTGAGGAGTCAGCTCTCAATTCTTTCTATTTTTGTGAGAGTTCAAGGACCGAACTCAAATCCTCAGGCTTGTACGGCAAGTGCTTTGTCCACTGGGCCCTGTCACCAGCGGAAAAGTGTCTTGTCTTTGTTGTTTGTTTTTCTCAGGAGGCACTAGCCAGCATATAGGCAAGGTAGCATGAGAGAGCTTGGGCTTTAATAGAAAGTGCAGGCTCCAGGGGCTGGGAACAGGGACCATGATTTCAGATGGTGGAAATAAACATGAAAAATGATGAGAAGGAAGTTTGGATAAGGTGCATGACTTTGGCAAAGAGAAGACCTTAAATGTGGCTTCTGAAATTCATCAGATCTGGCATACAAATATAAAAAACTAGGTCGAAGATCACATTGGCTGGAGAGGTGACTCAACTGTTAAGAGTACATACTACCCTTCCAGAGGGCCTGAGTTGGGTTCTCAGCACCCACATACAGGGGTTCACAGCCTCCAGCTCCAGGGGAATCTCACAGACTATGTGGGCACAAACTCACACAGAAGCATACACACATACATATAATTAAAAAATGAATCTTTTTAAAAAGTCCCATGAAGGTCAAAACACAAATGGGAAGAGTCTATTTGCACATCAAAGTGAAGGATTCATTTCTAGATTAAAGGACTCTTGCAAATCAATGAAAAGATAACCATATAGTGGAAATTTACAGAGATTGGTGTAGAAGGAATACAGGGGCAGACAAGATGTTCGTCAACTCAAGTTGCTGCTGAGCCTGCATCCCTGAGTTTGATCCCCAGGAACTACATGGTGGTAAAAAAAAAAAACTGGCTGCTGCCAGCAATACACACACACACACACACACACACAAACACACACACACACACACACAGAGAGAGAGAGAGAGAGAGAATAAAAGGAACACTCGTATGTATGACAAATATGAAGATACACATCCTTTTTCCAGGGAAATTCAAGTTAAATAACAGGATTCCACTTTCTATTAACAGACAAAAAAGAAAGGGTTCGGCAGCCACTGACAGTGATGTGTGCCTGCACTGCTGATGGGAGAGTAAATCTTATTTAAATCATTTAAATGAGCAATTTGGAAGAGTGTCTATTGAGATAACTTAAATTATAGGGACCCAGAAGTCCAATTCTTGGAGTCTTTTTCCAAAGAAATCTCTAAGAAGGGAATTCGCTGTAGTGTTAAAATAGGAAGCTGTAACCAACCTAAATGATGGTAATAGAGCGTTGTATAACTGTGTCTCCATGTTCTAGATTCCTGCTTAGTCAACCGTGAGAACATCCTGTCACTTAGGGACATGGAGTCTGAGATATAACAATGAATGAGATTACAGAAGGGCTCAAGCAAACGTGTTACAAGTTTCCAAAACCACATTGGGCCCGTAAGAGAAGGCTTGAAGGGTAAAGGCGCTCGCTGCCAAGCCTGAGGACCAAGTTCAGTGCCCAGCACCACGTGGTGGAGGGAGAGAACTGACTCCCATGAGCTGTGAACAAAATACACGCAGGGATTTATACAATGGTCAGTATTGAGTTTCACTTCTACTGGATCTCGAATCACCAGGGAGACAGACCTCTGGGCATGTCTGTGAGTTTCTAGATTTGGTTAATTATGAGCAGAAGGCCTACACTAACTGTGGGCAGCAGTAGTTTCTGTGTTTGGGTCCAGGTGAGCTGAGCACCAGCATCCATTTCTCTGCTTCCTGACTGTGAATGTGTTGTGAGCGGCCACATCGTGCTCCTGCAGCCATGCCTTCCCCACCATGATGGACTGTGCCCTTGAAAACTGTGAGCCACAATGAGGTCTTTCCTGACGTGTTTTCATTGGGAATTTTGTCACAGCAACAAGACATATAACTTATGCGATATGCATGTGCACAAAAGGACATGCAGGAGGAAGCTAGGTTTGGAAAGCAAAGATACAAAAAGTCATATCTCTAATGCTTACTTTTACTAGAATACATTGCATTCAATGTCAGCAAAAACAAATCTAATACATATGCAACAATTTTTAAAAAAATGTGGAAAAAAAAGAAACCTATCAGGTAAATGTCATGAACATATTGAACATTTTGGTCTATGATGTCCCTCTGAATTATTTTCCCTATGTTAATATTTTAATGTTTATCTTATCTTATGAATTTTAAATTTTACAAGTAAAAGTTAATTCTTAGAAACCATCTTGGAGATGAAAAAGTAATAAGTATAATTTTATATATTTGCATTTTTACTGTATGCCTATAGTACCACACACACACACACACACACACACACACACACACACACACACGTATTATGTATGTATATCTGTAGTCTAGGCTAGCCCCAAGCTTGTTTTGTAGCCAAGGATGAACCTGCTCTTCCTGCCCTTACTTCCCAGTGCTGGCTTTTGGGCATGTGTCATACCCAGTCTGATTCTGGTGTGGGGAATTGAGCAGAAGGCCTCGTGGATGGTAGGCAAGTGCCCTACTAGCTGAGCCACATCCCTGGCCCCTAGATTCCCTTATTCTAAGGTTAGTTCTTTGCTCACCTTTCTGTACACATTTTAAGACATTTTCTAGACATATAG